TGAAATTTTCATAGCTATGTGTTAGAAGACTAATTTTATATTCTTTTACCTCGTCGGTGCCTTCATGAGTGACTTGTAGTTTATCCCATATTTCTTTGGCGGTTGTACAAGATGAAACTCTTCCATATTCATCTGGTCCAAGAGCACAAAATATGATATGGATTGCTTTGGAGTTGAGCTGGAACATTCTTGTCTCTCCTTCACTCCACAATCTTGGATGAGTGAGAGGCTTGATATATCTGTCTTCTACAACATTCCATGCTCCCATGTCACTTGCTTAAATGAAATACATCATCCTATTCTTTCAATAGACATAGTTAGCTCCATTGAAGAAAGGAGCTTGTTGACGGGCATTGAATCGAGACCGGAGTCGACATTTGAAGTAGAGGCCATTGATGACTTGATAATCGATGTAACTCTTCCTGAATCGACTCAAGAGGCGATTAAACCTTCAAATGAGTGAGGCTCTGATACCAATTGTTGAGTTAACCGATCGACGGAATCGGCCAAGAGGGGGTGAATTGACAATTAAAATTTTGGTGGAAGCTTTTGCAGAAAATTAAAAGAAATTGCACATCGATTTAGAGTGGTTCAACTTTCTCAATCAAAGTCTACGTCCACTACCTTAGCTATACACACTAAGGATTTTCTAACAAATTCACTAATTTATTCTTTTTTTTGAATCCAAAGAGATAACCTTACAACTCCTTCAAGAATATACTCCAATTCTTGAGAACACTCTCCAATTCTTGAGAACATTCTTTCTCAAAGAGAAGATTACAAATTTGCAAACTTACAAGGAAATCCTCACAAGGTAGATTGTTTGCACAATTCTAGAACAAAGAAAAGAACACTAAAAATGAATACAATTAATTACAAGTAGTGTTCTTGACAGCAAAATGAATATTGAATGAAAAATAGGCTTGAAATGCTCAAATTTGAGGTTTGATGTTTTCTCTTTGATTCTTGTTGATTGTTATTTCTTGTTATTGATAAATGGCTTCTAAGCTTGTTTAAATACACATTCAAATGATTCTGAACGTTGGGGATGCTTAGTGGAGTCAATAGAGCCGTTTAAGTGTGAAAACAATTAATTAAAGCAATTAGGAGCGTTAGTGCATCGATGTATACCCATGGTGCATCGGTGCATCGGTGTAAAATTCAAATATTTTGACCGTTGAACCCTTAGTGTATCGGTGCACTAAGAGTGCATCGATGCATCAAGTGCATTCGATGTTTCAAAATAGCCAGAGTGCATCGATGCATGGCTGGTGCATCGATGCATCAAATGCATTCGATGTTTTCATAAAATCCTCAGTGCATCGATGCATGGTATGTGCATCGATGCATGAAATGCATTCGATGTTCAATTTAATTCATGGTGCATCGATGCATGGATTGGTGCATCGGTGCATCACTTTGATAAATTGATTTTAGGCTTGATTTTGGTTCAAAATACTTTATGAAAATTGTTTCAAAAAATAGTTTAAGTATAAAACACAATTTTACACATTTAGTAAGGTTTGAATTTGAACTTGAAAGACTTGGAGTAATAATTTGATATTCGATTAATTAAATCGAATATACTTAGAAAATCATTTGTAAAATCTTAAAATTCATTTAAACTTAATTTGTTATATTGAAACACAAAAATGTTTTCAACACAAACATTTGAGTTCGATTACACTCAACTCCAAGGCACCTCATTTACAATATAGCTCAAGGCAAGAAGGGTTATTTGCCAACCAAAGACATTCGAGTTCGACTACTCTTAGCTCCAAGGCACATCATTTGCAGCATAGCTTAAGTCGAGAAAGGCTATCTACCAACCAAAGACCTGACGAGTTTGATTTCATTCAGCTCGATGACAGCGATGAACTACTTTCTGGAAGAATTTTCAAGCTGAAATCTTTATACCGAGAAGAAGACAAAGGCCCAATTCCAGGAAGCCCAATCACATTTGAGAACACCGGACAAAAACTGATTGTCTTTTTTTCGTCTTTGCCTTATTCTTGTTAACACAAAAATGTACAAAGAGGGGCATCTGTAGACACTCATTTTCTCCCGGAGTTATTTTGGTTTTTATATATTTTTATTTTATTATATATATATACATATATATTTATAATAATAATAATAATTATTATTATTATTTTTATTTTTATTTTATTTTACAGGCACCCACCATTATCTCAACCACAAACATCCCACTACCCCACCTACCCATTCCACTACTCTCCATTTTTTCCACATGCCACTTTCTCCTTCAAATCCACTTTTAGTATTTTTTTTATTTAAAAAAGGCCACTTGCTTGAGAAAGGGAAAAGAGGAACGACTCTCCTTTCCTGTAATCCACTTCCCTCTCTATCTTCTTCTCATTTTCTTACTTCACCCACATCGTTGCCCATCATCATTTTGCCAATCTATAGGTTGTGGGTGAAAGCGGTTAATTATTATCATTTAAAATGCGACAATCACTGCTGCCTTCATCCCCGAACGTAGTTGATTTCTAGCCACTCGACTGATAACCAAATTCCTCTATAACTTCATTCCATACTCTCATATAATCTCCACCGCGTATTTACATCAAAACATAGAAGAAAAATGGTGGTAACCAACAAAACTAAAGTCAATGAAGATTCCAACTACGACCGACAAAAGGAACTGAAAGCATCTGTCGATTCAAAAGACGGCGTCAAAGGTTTGGTTGATGCCGAAATCACCAAGGTCCCTCGTATGTTCATTGCGCCGCCTAACTCAACAAGTAGTCCGACGACTACCGAGAAAACTCAGTTCAGAATCTCGGTCATTGATCTAAAAGGCATTAGAGATGACCCGTTGCGGTACAACGAGACTGTCGAGCACGCCAGGCATGCATCAGAAACATGGGGTTTTTTCCAAAGTCGTCAACCATGGGATACCTTTAAGCGTTCTCGAAGAGATGAAACATGGAGTTCGAAGATTTCACGAGCTCGATGTGGAGGAGAAGAAAGCGTATTACGCCAGAGATACGAACACGGAGTTCAGGTACACGAGTAACTTCAACTTGTTCACTGCTTCATTTGCGAATTGGAGAGATACATGCTTCTGTATCATGGCTCCTGATGGTCCTAAGCTTGAAAAGTTACACTTCATGAGGGACCCACAAGCTAAATTGACGTGTTTTCCCTTTAAATATTGTGCTTTCCCTTTAAATATTGTGTTTTCCCTTTAAATCTGTTTGTGTAAGTTGACATGGATTTTCTAAGGGTTAATCCATGCTTAGTCATGTCATATTTCAACTTCATTCATTTTGGTCCTCTCTATTTATTTAATTTTTATTTTATTTTATTATTATTTTACTAACTTTTATTTATATTTGTTATCTATTTTATTTTATTATTATTATTATATTAATATTTTTTCTCTTTTTTTCTTTTTTCATATTTATTAATTTATTTATTCAATCTAACAATATTTTTGACTTTTGGGATGCTTTTCAACTAATCGAATGTAAGTAATTTGAATCGAACGTTTTTTTAAATTTTAATTTTAATTTCAAATTTTCGCAATTAAGGCAACCAACAAATTAATTGGTACCGAAAGGGCAGTTCAAGGGTGCTAATCCTTCTTTGACTGTAACCGACTCCCAAACCCGATATATTTATGGTAAAACGCAGATCAGGTTAGATGGTGTCCGATCTACCTAAATATCGTTTTAAAATAATCGGTGGCGACTCTAACCAATTATTCAAGCGAAACTCAATTCGGGGCCCAACCGAAAGACGGTTCCGACAGTCTTCTCATCAAATTAATATTAATTAACGATTTGATGGATCAAAATAATAGATAACATGGATGACTAAATTTTAACAAATCAATATTATAAATGATTGAAATATAAACTTTTTTCTAAAATCAATGATAAAAATAAATAAAATAAAAACAAAAGTGATCCTTCCTATAGTTTATCCTAAACTAAAAAGTAAAGTGGATGGATCCTGTTGTGGTTTGACGCGTGAGTGGTTAATTGGCTGATTGAGTTTGGTTCCGCCGACCCAACGCTAGTGCATAGCCACTTTGAGAAATTAGGCAGCCCATATTCCTAACTAACGGCAAGGTTGGGCACTATCGACACTAACATCGAAGACAAACCAAACTTGAATGCTACTAGATAATTCACCCAAACCCCCAAAATAACACAACAATAAAACAGGACAGGATGCTGTCTGCTGCATCCTTGCTCTCTACGTGTTCCCCGGACCAATTACGCTAGGGTTTTTTCCTCTCGATATTCTATGGATCTACATATATTTGTTCTAATGACTTTAAATCATTTGATAATAAACGTTATCATTTCTTTAACCAGTAAAATATAGTTATCGAATAATATAAATAAAATATAAATCTTTTGTATATTACTCTGTAACTTAATATTATTTTAGCTTTGTTTTCAGTTATATGATTATATATAGGGATAACTTGCTGTGTTTTCTTTAGGGAATAATATGGTGTCTTTTGAAGTTGGAAATTGTTGCCTACATTTAATGGAATAGCAGTACATCCTTTAGACTTTCCGGCACACACTAGTCATTATTGCATCTGCTATTACATAAATAATACAGCTATTTAGATTCAAGAATGAAGATGCCTAGGGCGGTTACCAGAATTTTTACGGTCCATTACGTTTAATTAATGTAAATTAAGAGTATTATTTACATCCTTTTATATATGTCTTATTTTTACGCTTTAATTATTCTTTTGTCTAATAAAAGTCCAAAATAATTTATCAAATTTAAAATTAATTTCTTCCCAGCAGACACAAGTTAGTATAACGTACAATGTTAATTTATGATTGAGTAGAACAAATTATATGTGGTGGTATTTCTCCACTTTGAGATTCCCTTATCTTGGTTTCAGCCGATCATAAGTTCTGCTAACTTTTAATCTTCCTCCGGCCACCTATAAATTTATATGTTTCAGCAAGCTTTAACTCTGCATTGCTCGTCTTTCTCCGGAACCATGGCCTCGATGTTGTCTTCTCTGGTTTCTCTACTGTGCATGTGCTTGACTCAGTGGCTGGTTGTGTTTACGGTTGCAAAACCCATCCCCAATGGCTTCTCGGTGGACCTAATACACCGTGACTCACCACTCTCCCCGCTGTACAACCCTCTCGAAACCACATTCGATCGGTTATACAACGCTTATAACCGCTCCTTCTCTCGCATCAATCGTTTCAAGCCGATGTATTCCAAGGCGTTTCAGTCGGATATAGTGTCGAACGGCGGAGAATATTTCATGCAAATTTCCATCGGAACTCCACCGGTTTCGATTCTCGGAATAGCTGATACCGGCAGTGATCTCACGTGGGTGCAGTGTAAGCCTTGTGATGAATGTTACGAGCAGAAGTCTCCTCTGTTTGATCCCACGAAATCGTCTACGTACAAGAGCGTTCAATGTGGGACTGATCCTTGCAATGCATTGGATGGCTCGGACAGAGTCTGTGATCCAGAGAAGAACACTTGTAAATACAGCTACTCCTATGGAGACCGCTCCTTCACCAAAGGTAGCATTGCTCTCGAAAATTTCACCATCGGTCCGGTTTCGTTCCCGAACCTCGTGTTCGGCTGTGGACACAATAACGGCGGCACGTTCGATAATGTAGGTTCCGGTATCGTCGGCCTCGGGGGAGGTCCCCTTTCTCTAGTCAAACAATTGGGGAAGTCCATCAATGGGAAATTTTCCTACTCTCTGCAAGCATACGATTCGGCATCGGAATCGAGCGCATTCATATTTGGCACTGCAAAGGAATCAAATGCTGTTACAAGTACAACTCCATTAGTCCAAAGAGACCCTTCAACATATTACTACGTGACAATAGAGGCCGTCAGTGTTGGAGATAAAAGGTTACCCTACGGCAGCTTTACATCTTCATCGACAGCAGAGAAAGGCAACAACAATAACATCATTATCGACTCCGGGACGACATTGACCTTCTTGCAGTCCGAGTTTTATAACAGCCTCAAATCGACATTGGAGGAAGCGATCAAAGCGGAACGAGTGAGTGATCCCAAAGGGCTCCTCAGTCCATGTTTCAAGGCCGATCAGGACATAGATCTACCAACAATCACGTTCCATTTCGGCGGTGGCGCGGACGTGAAGTTGCAGCCACTGAACACATTCGCACAACTCCAGGAAGACATGGTGTGCTTCACCATGGTACCATCCAATGACATAGCCATTTTTGGGAACTTGTCTCAGATGAATTTCTTGGTTAGCTATGACCTTGAAGAAAGAACTGTGTCCTTCACGCCAACCGACTACACCAATAATCATTAAGACTCTATACATAAATACATAAATAAAATGGTTGTTATATATGATGAGACAGTGATAATTATGAGGTTAATCTGTAGTTTACCTGTAACAGCGATGGCAGCAGGCATTAAAACAAGAAGCATAATTGAACTTGAAAGCCATTTGTTTCTTCTTATAGTATAAGGAATTTATTACAATCATACTTTTAAAAGATTGATAATAATAATAATAATAATAATATCTTAATTTCAAAATTAAAATTTAAGTTTTAAACAAATATAATTTTATAGAAAATTTATATTTATAAGATGATAACACTATCACTAATTTTCTAACGTCTATCAACTTGTTAGTTCATGAGAATATTCGTTAAGAACCACATTAAAGTTGGGAAGAACAATTGAGTTTTTAGCGATAAGGATATTTCTTATTTGAGTAAAGAATGAGAGGGACTACTGGAATAATATTCTCATTTTCTTATAATTATTTTTTTTAAATGATCTGAGGTGATTATAAAAAAACATTTATTTATATTTTTTAACTATTATTAATATATATACATTCTACAAATAAAACTATTTGATCAAAACATTTTAAAAATATAATATTTTTAACTACTAAAAGCACTCATATACACTATAATTACGGGTTTTAAAGCGCGAGGACCGCAAATTGATAAAATTGATTTATGATTAAATATACGAAATATTAACCTATTTATTTGAAATATTTATGTATATTATATCAATGAAAAACATGCTATATGAATATCTGCATTGTCACATTGATGGGTTTAGAAAAGGTGGGTAGGGGTGGTTGTCCCTAAAAATTTAAAATATCATATATTTTAGATTTTTTTATGTACTTTCTATCGAAAATTTATTTTCGTCTCCTAAAATTTTATAGTTTAAGTTTGTCCTATAAAATTTTATAAGTTCAAATTTGTTACTCCTAGCATAAAATTCTACTTCCGTCCCTATATTATCATGGTTAAAACATTGACAAAAAATGTGTGATCCAATAAGATTAAATTGATCTATGTTGTGGCGTTATTTGTATGATTGATTAAATTGAATGTAACTCATGAGTATCTCGAGTTTATCTTTCTCATGAGTATATAGAGTTTGTAGTGCATTTAATGACTTGATAATCATATATGAACTATAATTTTATGTTCACCATTATAATATATGGTTATGTACGTTCAAATGATAAGAATATCTGAAATCCAACCTTATTAACAAAAATTAAATTTCATTTTTTACTTTTATATCACAACTTTAGTACTTTAATTTTTAATATTTTATTTTTATTATATATGTTTTTCTATCTTTTACATATTTTTAATCGTTTGGTCATTGTTCTTGTTTATCTTTCTCTTTAAGGTTCGATTTAAGATGGTCACGATTAATTAAGATAATGTTTAACTGTTATCATGTTAATCAAGATGAAATTTATTCAGTAGTGTATCCATAAACTTTTCTCAAAGTGGGCACACAGGCAGTGGTAGACCATATAGAGTTGAGGGTGGACACGTGTTTATTTAGAAGTATAAATTTTTTTCGATTAATTACTTATTTTAGTAATAGTACCCACCTTAAAATTTTAATTGTGCTCACCATATTCAAAAAATTTGGTTGTTAAGATACGTGTCTATCATAAAATATATTTCTAATCCGTCATTATACTCATGTATTAATAACATAAAATTTTCGTATAAGATGACTATAAATAAAATCTCATGATAGACACAACTAATAAAATGGATAAATAATCAAAGAAAAAATAAACTTAAGTATGAACACACCATCATAAAATAAATGGTAATTCATCCCTCCGTTTGTTATGTATTTAATTTATCATTATGATAGTAAACTATATATATAACTAATACCTTCTACAGAAAAATAAGTGAAATCCATGAAAAGATGTGAAATGATGAAAGAAAATCATGAATTGAAAAAGAGTAACCATGTGAATAAAGAGAGAGTTGAAGGGAGTTGAGTTGAGCAAGCGAGAAAGTATAGGTGAGTTGGGGATGTAATGCATGCAGTAAGGAAGTTAACGACGAACAAAATATAATAAATAAATAACGATGTTAACAAGACAAAAAAAAAAAAGGTGAATAGGCATAAATATAATGGGACTGCCAGATTCTTTTCAACACGAATCCAAATTTCCCAAAGCCATTTCACCCGTCCTTCAACGCCGCTACTTTTAATCCAAGGCACTCAGACCCTCTTTGCGTCTTCTTCCCCCTCCGTTGATGGCGACAGCAGGTGAATGTGAAGTCGAAGGTGAAGAAAATGAGAATCAAATTCTCAGGCAACAAACCCAGAAGCTGTTTTCTTTGTATCTCGGAGTCAGTTTCAGTGCCTTCTTGGCTTACATTCCCGAGTGTTCACTCTCTTTGATCCCCAAGTTACAAACCCAGGTGGGAGATATCACGGCGAGGCTTTTGGCGGCGGAGGAGCAGTTGAGGCAGATGAAGTCGAGGAGAAAAGAGGACTCCAAAGCAAACGCCAGAGTGGTGGAGATCTTCGCTTCCCACCGGAACGCGTGGCAAGCCGAGGAGAAACAGCTTCTGCAGCAGATCCAGGATCAGAGGGAAAAGATTGAGGAGCTGGAGAAGGAGACTCATGAATCCAAGCGGAGAACTGAGGAGCTACACGACATTATCGGCTTCATCTCGACCACTAGGGCTGCTGGCGGAGAACATGAACAAATGAAGGAGGAATTCGCCGCGGAAGATTCCAGGGACAACCAAGTAAAGTATAATGTCTCAAACAACGGGAATTTCCCTTTCACTTCAGATTTATTGGCTTCTGCTTCTTCTAAGTTTTGGGCGGACAGAGCTACTGCCTGGCAGGTTTGTTTCACTCTTCTTCTTTTTCTATGTTTTTAATCTTTTAGATTCCCAAGCAAACACTAGATTACTGGGAATGTTGAAATATCTCATAGCTTTTCTTATTTGTTTATTTTTTTCAACTGATTGTGTGGAACAAAGGAGACAAATTATGGTGAAAACCCTTAAATCAGCAGGAGAAAAACTATACCTTTTTTCCCTTCCTGCCAACTCTTTGTTTTTTGTACGTTCTTTTATCCCACATTTTTCTGTATCAGAATGGAAGTTCTCATTGTTGAATTTTTAAATAGAAAAGGCACTGCTTCAGTCCTTTTACTTTTTATTTATTTATTTGGTATAAGGAAGCGGCTGCTTAGAACTTAAAATGGTCTGTAACAATTTGGTCAAACATGAGAGCACTGTATCATGAATCCAAAGTCCTTTTGCTGAATGGCCACCATTTATTACCTCTGATTTGCATACTGGTTAACTTCTGTTCTGTCCTAGGTTGCTTTACTAAATTCCTTACACCGACAGGAGCTTTCTGCGTAAATACGAGAACAAATTATTGGATTGATGTCTTCTTGCTCATGCATCTTCATCATTCAGAAGGTTTAGTTTGTATTGAGTTGTGCATTAGTCTCTTTATCATTAATGCTTAGTGCATGTAGTTCTTTCTCTTTATTTGATTCCCTTTGTTCCTTTTTATCATATGTTGGTTTGGTGCCCACTCAAAAAGTAGCTTTTGGTTTCTGATTAAGCCCTCCCATGTGGCTGGACCACCCTTAACTAAGACATGACAACTGCATCATAACCTATACAATTTCCTATAAAAGTCAACAAGGCCTCAATTAGTTGCAACTTGCAACCAAAGCTGCTTCAAGAAGCATGTATATGATTTTGAACCAATTCCCATACTTCAAAATTTGTAAGTCTAGTTCTTTTCATAGCATTGCCAACTGACCTCCGATCAATCAACTATGATTCTTATCAAACATAAAATGGAATGTTTTGCGCATGCTGTTTATTACCATCTGAAGATATTAGATGGATTTGGTCATGACTGGTTTTAATACTTGCCATGAGTGCTGTTGTGTTGATTCTGGTCTTGCTGTACTTGTCTTTGAGGGTAGAATGAATAAATGAGGGATGAGAGTGTGAAATTGAATGCCTTTTGTGAGAAATTGTTTAATATTGTCATCTTTCACCTCATTGTTAAGCATTCTCATAACCGTTTAAATTTTTTCCTTTTATTAAAAAAAATGTTAAGCATGACAGATGTTGAGGATTTCTCAACTTTGTATTTGGACTGTGAAAGTTTGAGGATTCACAAGCCATTTTTTTGTCCCTTTTCTTATTTCTTCCTGGATAATTTTCTACATCTGTGACTGTTAAAGGTTCATTGTTGGATATTTATGCTTGCAGGATGTACCGTATGAATCTCTTGAATCTTTGTATCGTGTGAAGCATTTTGTTGCAAGGTACAGTAGAACAGTTTCGGTATTGGTTCTTAAATTATGTCCATGTCAAAAGTTGTGGTTAATGAAGGAACAATTTATGTTTTTTCTTCAGAAGGGAATCACCTTGGAAGGTAGACGGTGAATCAACTGGAGTTTCCTCTAACCAAAAGCTGCTTGAACAGGAACTATTGAATTTGGAAAAAATTGGTAAAAGTGATTTTTCAGGGGTACCTTCATTAATGAGAAAGCGAGCCAGAAGATATCAAGCTCTTACTGCAAAGATTGAGGATCTTTGCAGAAGAATGGTAAGACATATCTGCCTTAAATTGTATTTTTCAGCTACTTTTTTCTACTTGTGAATCCTGGGTTTTTAAGAGTCATATATACCCTATAAAGTTTCAAATTGGAACTCAAACGTATGTAATAGGATTATGTGAGGAACCCAATGGTGCATTTCCATTTAAGACTAGGTTTTCTACGGTTTTGATGGAAGTTGATTTTGTTGCAGTTAATAATAATATTAAAACCAATCATTTTTTGAGATGATCCGTACATGTAACCTACTATTTCTATTCATTCACCAGAACTAGATCCACCATACTATGTTCTTTGACTCAATCATTTTTCTTTATCTTGCAGCAGGCTGGTGACCCCTCTGAACCTACACTCAGTCTAGAGTTTCGAACGCAGAGACAGACTGAGTTTTTGCTGGAAGCGTTTCGGCTTCAGCAGCATGCATCTGAAACTGGACAAAAGCTAATGGCATTACAAACCGAGATTGGGAAGAGTTACAACAACAGGGATGATGTTGGAAGCTCAGCCACTGCCAAAGTGGGCATGAAACGATCCATGGATTCCATTAGAAACAAC